ACAAAACAAAATGACACAACTAATTTCAAAACATAATTTGACAGTTTGAAACATAACCAAATAACGTCAGTAAGTGCTAATCAACGTATATTTTCCCTTCAATTTAAGGTACAATTGAAGATGAGTTAATAATTATGTCATTTAGCAAGGTTATTCTGTAATTTTAATTGTAACAACCAAGTGAAAATAATAACTTAAAAACAGGTTGATTGTTATAAGGGTTTTAGTGCTTCCACGGGTCTTTCAAAACTGGATACTCTATACTATAAACAACTAATGTATCATATTTAACCTATCAGAAGAAATTGTTATGTTCAGTAATAACATTTGCGGTAAGATATCACGAAAACTAAACATTTCACATTAACATTAAATAAAACTTATGAAATTTTAAAACATTTGGGAAAATGTGAAACTTTAGATCATCTGTTTAAGGAGTACAATATTAGACAAAAATATACTCAAAGATGAAAATGGATCACGCTTATTGCCCGTGTGATGTCAGAAACAATCCAGCATGCATCTATTTTTAACTAATTTGTTTATAGAAAAAGCAAAAATGTTTTATAATAAAATTATGAAAAAGGTTGAGTTTTGTTTAAGAGTTGGTTAGTTAAGACTTCTTTTTTTTAATCATAAAAGGTATTAAAAACTTCTTCAATGGCAACATTCAATTCTTTAGAAAACATTGAGTCAAATTATCAACAACAGAGATATATACGTCCTTCCTTGGTTTTTAAAAGAAAATGAAATTGTGTTGATCCTATTCTGGACTATTAACTGAAGGACGGTTTTAGGTAGATTTTACATCGAAAGTGGTCGATATTTCAAGCAGTGTGCATAGAGCTTCCAATTGGTCAAGAAGTGTATATAATTAAATTGTGTGCTCCATTTTATCGGTTTATAAATTCTAAACATCACACATCACATTCTTATGACAGAAATTAAAAAAGAATTATGCTCTAAAAAAGTTGTTTAATGCACACTGGTAGATATATCAACCACTTCACTCTAGCTATGATACATAATTGATAATAAAATAATGTTTAAACATCTTATTTACACTCTAAATAGCATATCCTGATGAAAAAAAAAGGAAAAGAACCCATGGTAGTTATACCCTAAGAGTGGTTAAACCTTTCGTTCTTTAATGGTTTACAGCAAAAACCTTCACATTAATATAAATTTTAAAATATTATCTTTATGCTATAATCGTGATTTATATCTATTTTACTTAGAAACTATGACCATTTATTTTTAATAAAATATTCTAAAGAGTTTTCACATGAGATTTTTACATTAATTTGTTTTTTAAAATTTCTTTACTAATTTATCAATTTTGGAAATCTGAAACTACCGATCTCGATAAAGAAATTAGTGAGATCATATTGCATTTAGAAAAATATAACTAACTCGATTAGAAACAAATAAAATAAAAAAATTACTACTACATATTTTTGACTTAACAGTGAATATTAAAGAATCTCAGAATAATTATATAAACAAACAAAAATATAAACATGAATTATTAATTGAGTAGATTTCTGGTATAGTTAGGAGGTGAATGACAAGGGGATGAGAATAATTAGTTCTAATCAGGTAAAGGAAGTTAAGTGTGAACAGACTGTTTGGAAAAGTGAATTTTGGACTTAAATTATGACTGGAGACTCTCTCCTTGCCTGTCACTGTTCTAAGTTGTTGATTCTGGACAGCCATATCAGTTCCTTCAAATCATTGGAGCAGGAATCAGACAATGTAAGTATCTTCTTCATGTCTACTGACTCAATTCTAGTTAATAATAACAATAAAGAATTATTATAAAATATTCAGTCATTCATAAATTCTATAACGAGAAAGATATATAAAAACTTATCATATAAGGATTTTAAAAATCAGACAGCAGGTCAAATATTTATTTTTTTCTGCTTTTAAACAAACCCAACACGAAAAATTAATGTATCAGTACAAAATATGAGAGATCTTGTCTGGTTCAGAATGTGGAAAAAAGCACTGCTTTTCGACACAGTTATGCAAGGAAGTGATTATTTGGCTAGGATCATGCTTAACTGCTACCTTTTCCCTCCAATCCATTAAGGTCAAGATAACCACTTTATAGAAACTAGGTGTGCATTCAGAAGAGTATAAAACAATACGTTAAATGATAAAGCCAATAATTTATAATGCTAATAATGAGTGTTTATTATCCCCTGATCAAAAAAACCTTTTGGCTTTAAATCAATTAACCCAAAACATGAAACTTTTATACCATTTTTATCTTAGAATCCTTCGTTTATATAAACTATAGAGGAATTGTGTTGCTCTCATGTGTCTATAAAGTGTTGTCTAATGTCCTGTTTGAGAAACTAGTCCCATTTGCTGAAAGATAACATGAGAATAATCAATCAGGATTTAGAGGAGGCCGTTCAATCACTGACCAGATAAATTTTATGTTGTGGATGATCCTGGCAAAAAAATGCATGGAATATAAATTGACCACTCACCATTTCTTTGCTAACTTTAAGTTGGCATATGACACTATTAGTAGAGAGGAACTCTACAAGAACCTAGTGTAATGTCAACATTACATGGCATTTAAATAGTGGCGCTAAAGTGGTAACAGTACGAACTACGGGGAGAAAGTGCGTGTGGATGGTGGGGGAAGCAAGCCTCATGTAACTGAGAATGTGACGGGCCGCCAAGAGAGAAGGTGATAGCGGCCAAGAGAGAAGGTTATGAGCCGCCAAGAGAGAATGTGACAAGCTGTCAAGAGAGAAGGTACTAGCCAGCAAGCTGAGAAAATAGAAAGAGCCACAAAGTTTAGACTGGGACAATCAAGGTTTTTGAAAACAATAATAAATTTTATATGTATAATTAGTGTATTTAGTAATTAGTAAATTATAGTTATTTAATGTTGAATGAGTGTTCAGTTGTCAGAACCCAACCTGAGATTTATGTTATATGTCAAAATAAATAGTATATTGAAAAAGGAAACTTGTTGTTTGATTTTGGAGGGAAAGAGGAACGTAACAACATGGCGCCCAACTAGCGTGGCTTTTGAAAACGTACATAGTCACGACAACTGAACACGCAATCCTTGTTAATTTTAATTTTATTTTTTTGTTCATAAGTTTTGAGTAATATGGAGAATAAGCAGAGAGAGATAATAGAAGTGAGATCTTAATAATGTAATTCTTGGAAAATTTAATGGGAATGTTGTTATTGTAGAAAATAAGGCAGAGTCAGTTGTACAAAGCCTACTTGATGAAAATAGACAAAACGGAAGTGAAAGTCTGTCGGGATTAAATGAAATTCATGAGTTTAGTGAAAATAATATGGAGGCTGAAAAAATAAACATAGGGGGTGGTGGCAACAATTTGAGTTGTGCTGATGTGTGTGGTATGTTTCAACAAGTAATGACTATTCTGTGTAGTATTGAAAACAAGCAGGAGGCTTGGAAGCGGGATTTGGAAAGTCAAATTCAAGAAAATAAATTAGAAACCTAATGTTATTTAATGTTGAATGAGTGTTCAGTTGTCAGAACCCAACCTGAGATTTATGTTATATGTCAAAATAAATAGTATATTGAAAAAGAAAACTCGTTTGATTTTGGAGGGAAAGAGGAACGTTACACTAGATTAGCTTTAAGTCCTAGGAAAACTCACAAGACTAGTAAAGATGATCATGAAAAACTCAAAATATGCAGTCCGTGTGAGATCAAATCTTTCCGAGGTAATCATAACCAGAAGCGGAGTAAGACAAGGTGATGCCTTTGCTTGCCTCCTATTCTATCTGACATTAGAAATGGCTGTCCAAAAATTCAGACAACAGGCACCAACTTCAACGAAACAGTACAGCTATTGAGATATGGCGATGACATTGACATTGTTGCGAAATCAGAACAGCCATTGAAGGAGGCGTTCACTACATTTGAAATAGCTGCCAGAGAATTTGGCCTAGCGAGAAAAAACCAAATATATACGAGCCGGTGGTAATGGAGACCATTTCGTATTCCTAGACATTGGCTTCTAAGTTCCAGGGAGTGAAGACTTTTGTGTACCTAGGATCCGAGATGAATTCCAGGAACAATGTATCACAGAATATCCATTGGGCCAGTCATATGGCTTGGATGGATGACTCCGAGATTCCAAGGAAAGTAATGGTAGAAGAGCAGCGAGCAAGGAGAGGACGACCCAGAACAAGATGGCTAGATCGTGTGGAAGTTGATGAGAGAAACTTGCTGAAAACCAGAAATTGGACAGCTGCAGCACAAGACAGAGCCATCTGGCGGAGGCCTAGATCCTCTTGTGGGTTGTGGGGTGCGCCAAATATGTATGTATATTTATATAAAGGCACCAGTGCTCTGGAAAATAAATGATAGTAGGAGAAAAGTCAGGTAAATAAGGTGGTATGAGGCCCTTGTAATAGTCTCACCAGTTTTTAAATAAGTCTCTGGTCTTCCACGACATTCATTCGTAAGACTTGTAACAGTGGATATAAACTCCAAATAAACACAAACTTTATGTCTCAAAATACTTAGGAGGCCAAGTTTTGACGTTTAAATTTTGTAAAAATATAACATAATTTCTCTGATTTAAACGATGAAGAAATATTATTCAAGGGCTTGAATAGTTTACAATAAACTGAAAGATATACATACAGAAAGCATAAAAATGTCAAAAGATTATTTAAATATCTATTGTGTTAGTGTTTGTAAATCAGAGATGGTTTCACAATTTAATGATTTCATCAAAATAAACAAATCTGACATTTTATCCTTTCTGACCCAAAGCATACACAATTTGTAAGTCCCAAAAACTTGTTGAGATCAATTACAAACTTCAAAAATTTTATCTAGGAAAAGAAAAAATTAATAACTCAACATTAGACAATTTTCTTAACTAGAAGAGCTGAATTTTTACTAAATAATATAAAACAGATTTATACAATTTAACTGCCCAATAAATTAAGCAATAAGTAGCAATCTCTAATCTACTACTTACCCTTCAAAGAAGCCTGCATTACACTGTACCTCCTCTTTAGCTCCTTCAGGAAGAATAGTACTGAAACCATGAGACGTACTATAAAAATAAATTTTCATACTAAATAATCATAAATATAAAACTAACTGGTACTATAAAAAATAAATTTTCATACTAAATAATCATAAATATAAAACTAACTACTCCATTTGTAAATGTAAATACAACTAATCGATTCAACTTATACATATACATCGAACATATATACATTGTTTACTATCATTAATTAACAGTACTAAAAAGAAAAACAAACTATAGCATCCATAAATAAAAAAATAAAATAATCCTAATAAAAAAGCTTGATTCCTTAACTATGATAATTTACCTGAACATAAATACACATATGATTAGTTTTTGATTACTATCAGTAATAAAATATATCACTAAACAATGAATAAGTTGACCACAATTTTTTTTTTTTTTTTTTTTGCTTTTTGTTTCTTTGTACCAGGTAACATTAGGCAATTCGATATCACAGATTAAATTGGAATTCATTGGCACTAGCTTTTTTAAAAAATATAATAATTGATTAAATATTATCCTAAAATACATCACAGGTGAATTAATGTACAATGGCTATGTACATCGAATGTCCTTCTTCAACAAAACATTTGGTTCAATGATACAGAATATCAGTTTTATTATAGGAATCTTAAATGGTTATTAAGTTAATTAAAATGAGCATGTAAAAAGTCAGGCATTTTGGTCAAACAGTCTTGAAATGTTGGTATTGGCACTCTTCGTCTCTGCAAATGCCATGCAGATCATAATGGCATACTGGTGTATTCGGGTCCCATTCTTCTCTTTCCCTTTCCTTCCCACTATAAAGATAAACAAACATGATTCCATAAATATAGCTAGGTTATCAAAAAATTAAATTATCATTAGTAAACTAAAAATAATTTTAATGTTGTTTATATTAGATAAATATTTCATTAAAATAATTTTGATAATAGCAAGAACTACTTATTGATTACTAAAGCTGAAGAGATAACAGAAAATAGACAGACTTTCAATCCCACGGTATGCCAGAAATAGTGAGATAGGAACAAAAAAAAAAAATCTTCCAGAAAAAAAAAAATTAAATTATCATTAGTAAACTAAAAATAATTTTAATGTTGTTTATATTAGATAAATATTTCATTAAAATAATTTTGATAATAGCAAGAACTACTTATTGATTACTAAAGCTGAAGAGATAACAGAAAATAGACAGACTTTCAATCCCACGGTATGCCAGAAATAGTGAGATAGGAACAAAAAAAAAAATCTTCCAGAAAAAAAAAAAAAAAGGTTCAAGAAAAGAACCTTCCAAAACCATAGACCCAATGTCTTTTGCACACCTATTAGGAGGTAAGAACAATATTACATATTGTGAGACCCTGCCGCAACAACAATATATACCTCAAAATTCTCAACCCCAACCTCAACATCCTACTTAAACATCACCTAATCCTAAACAATTTTATCAACACTATACTCCTCACATTTCTCCTCCATCAAATACTACAGATCTCAGTTTACTTACATCTTTCCTCTCTGAATTCAAAACCCTTGTTACTCCTTTGATATCCCTTCTCACCGATCTTGTATCACATTTTATCCCTCCCCCAAAAAATCCTTAAATAACTTCTAATAAACCTATATCCATTCTCCTTTGGAATGCGAATGGTGTTAGGAATCATAAACTATCTGCATTAAACAGCACTTCAAAATTCCACAATACCCGACATATCGTACTGATCACCCTGACGGAAGAGCAGATGACGGTACTGCTGTCATTGTACACCAATCCCTCTCCCATCACCTACACACGATTTCCTACAGTCCACCGCTATCGTAATAAAAACCTTCTCCTTTCTGGTTACCCTCGTGTAAGCGTATTGCCCTCCTAACTGATCCATATCCAATGCCCAATTTAGTTCTCTCCTCAATTCCTTAGGACATCACTTCATCTGGGGTGCAGACTTAAATGCCAAATATCCACTTTCCTCTATTATGAAAACACTCCACCATAATCCTTTTTCCAAAACCAGAAAAACCTCCCAACAGCTTGACATCCTATAGACCAATTAGCCTACTCCCAATCTGTTCAAAAAACTTAGGAAAGATCCTTTTGAAACGACTCCCACCCCTCATAGAATCCCCAAATCTTCCTTCCCATCAGTTTGGTTTTCGCTCAAAACATTCCACTGTTCAACAAGGACTTCGAGTCGTTGATCATATGTCAGCAGCCCTAGAAAACAAGCAATACTGTTCAGGTGCATTCCTGGACATAGCACAGGCTTTTGACCGGGTATGGCATGCCGGGCTTCTTTTCAAACTTAAAACCCATCTGCCTCAGTCTTTATACCTTGTCCTCTGCTCCTACCTCCATTATAATCCAGGAGTATCTTTTAGTTTATATAAATTTACTTTAAGTATTATTATATTGCCACTTATTATTTTTATTTATTGTGCATAGTATGAATGAACTACTCTTTATCATTATTACTATTGTCCTTGAATGTGACAGATTGTAATATATCTCAATAAAGAAATTTTTAGATTTATAATATCAACACCTCAATAACCTCTAAAAATAATGAAAATTATCTACAACACATTTTTAAATAGTTGTAAAACTGAAGTCTCTGACAAGACATCAAGAAAGCAAGACTGAGAATTTGATTTAGGTAAGTAAAACATTGTATGTAGCTTACTCATCAGAGCATCTCTTCAAAATCTTAAATCCCTCAGCTGTTGTGGTTGGTAACAGATCACACAAGAAATCCATGAGGATAGCTACATTCAGCACATTGGAAAGTAATAATTTAAAATTTGCAGAGATGTTAGGCCCCCTAAGAAGGCAATTGATATAAAACACCTATAAAGGCAAAAGGAAAAAGAAATTGAGAAGTTCAAGGATATTTACTGGGAGCAAAGCAAATGAGAGAGTATTACATATTTCCAAAATAATATTTTGGAAAAAAAGAATCTAAAATGATTTAAATTCTACTGTCTGGCATTGACCTTACATAGTACTTTCATGTACTGTTAAAATTATGCCTCCCTGAAATCTATCCAGTTCTATTCATTTATAACTTTTCCCTTCAAAATTCTGTTTTTCCTACATCTTGGAAAAAAGCCTTAGTCCGTCCTATTAACAAAATCTCTAATCCCACCTCTCCTAAACAGTACCGTCCAATTTCCATCATCTCTAATCTGTCAAAACCACTCGAAAGAATAGTCCAATTCCAAATTTTCAATTTTCTCGAAGAGTTCAAACTTCTAGATCCTCTCCAATCAGGCTTTCGCCCGGGCTACTCTACTCAATCTGCTTTAGTTAAAATCACAAATGACATACATACTGCAATTAACGAAAGAAAACTGACTGTATCAGTACTCCCGGACTTCTTCAAAGCATTTGATTCCTTAGACCATTTTATCCTCTTCACTAAATTAAAATCTCTATCCTTCTCCAATAGTTGTATCCTATGGTTCCAATCCTTCTTTTCTGACAGGACTCAAGCTGTTAGTATTCCAAATCAACCCTTATCTTCCTTCCTCACTTTGTCTCAGGGAGTAGTCCAGGTTTCAAGCATTTCCTCTCTCCTTTTTAATTCTTACATCAATGACCTTTGTAGTTCAATACACCATTGCTCATACCATCTATATGCTGCTTACTCCCAAATTTATTTTTAATTTCCGCCCACTGAGTTATTAGAAGTGTTTACTAATATTCAGAAAGACCTAGATAGGATCAGTGCCTGGGCAAGCTTGAATAAATTAAAGTTAAACAACGAAAACTCAGGCCATTCTTATAGGTTCCAACTCCCTCCTTAGATCCATTACCACCCTTCCTTCCTTGATTATTAATGACCAACTAATCTCCTTCAGCTCCTCTGTAAAAAATTTAGGAATTATCATTGATCAAAACCTATCCTAGACACCCCATATTGCTCATATTTCTAGAAGGTCAATTGGTACACTTAAACTATTCCATCGTTCTTCCACAACCTATTCACAAGCTCCTTGTTTCCTCACTGATTTCCCCCCACTTTGACTATGGCTGTGGGTATAAGGCGACCTCTTGTTGGTGCTTGAGGACAGACTGAAGAGAATCATGAACTGTTTTTTAAGATTTGTCTTCGGCACTTCGAGATGGTCTAATGTGTCCCACCTATATGCCGAGTCAAAGTGGCTCTTCCCCTCTTCCCGCCGCCTATACTTCCTTAGAAATTTCTTATATCAAACGATCAACTCCCAGCACCCTTCCTATATCTACTGTCTCCTCCAGCCGAAACCTTTCGTCCACTCAATAAAAACGAGATCACGTGATTCTGACTTCTATATTCCATTCCACAAGACAAAAACCTATGAACATTGATTCTTAACCCGCTCCGTTGTCTTCAGGAATTCCTTGTCACATAACATCTCTCATGCCTCTTCCCTGTCAACTTTCAAGTACCTCCTTTTCCAATATCTCCTTACATCCCAAACAGACGATCCGCAACCATAAATTTTATTTTATTCATTGAATTTGTGAGAAGTAAATGGTGGTGCCTACTATTTAAGTTTTAACATAAACATCAACGATCTTTGTCACCTAGTTTGACTTTTATTTTTACTATTTATTTGTTTTTCTCTTCGCTTCAGATCATGCTTTTTCTTCCTGGGTATATATGTTTTATATGTACGTTTTACATTTTTTTATGTATTTTCATTTTGTTTTTCTCTATTTTCCCATTTCAAATATAATTACGCTTGAGAAGATTTTTTGTTTAACCGATAACATATTATTTTATAGCGCTAGTTTATTAATCTAGCCTACTTTATATATTTTAACATCTAAACCAATACCTTTCTGTTATCACTTTTGCTATCTTATTATATTATTGTTTTATTTATTTATTTTTATTTATCCAGGTCATATTTTTTGTTTCTCTGTGTACCAATATAAGTATGTATGTATATATATATATAGTTCTTTTTTTTTTCCATTACACTACAAGTAATCCTGAGATTTTATTTTTATTTCTCTTAGGGTTTGCACATTATTATAAATCACTGTAGATATTATTATATTTTGTATTAAGTTATTTTTTTACTAGTTAGCCAATTGTTTATAAATTGTGTAGTTATGTATATATAAATAATTTTTTTTTTTACATCAAAATAATAAGTAATTTTGAGAAGATCTTATGTTCATTTATTTTATTTTTTTGTATTTTTTTCAGTTTATTTTTTAGCGGTTACATACTATTTTTTAAATAATGTTAGAATTTCTATAAGTTAGTTTTTGGCCAGATTTGTATTTTCTTTTGTATTAATTCATCATTGTTATTCTAAGTTCAATTTTCTACTCTACTTTCAAGTTAGGCCCAGAGCTAATTTAACTTCCAGTGGTTGATGAATAATCTTAACAAGAATTTTCAGTTATTAAGTTAAAAATTACTGATATTTTAATTAATAACTGTGCAGGATAGATGATACTAATAACAAATTATTAAGTGATAAAAATACTACATTTTTTAGGTTTAAATAAACCAATAATAAATTAAATTTTAATCTTACCTGAAATTCCTCTTCAAAGGAACTTCATTACTGTCTTTAGCCTTATCCTGCGGAAGAACATTCTTTGCTACAACAGAGTCTTTGACAATGAATTTCTTTTTCAATGTAGTAGTTTCTTTAGGGCTTAATGTCCTTTTAATACCCGTCGGTGAAAACTCGAGTTTCCCAACATTTCCAACTGATTTTTTATCGTTATTGTTTGTCACAATTTTTTCACTGAGGAAATTGTGAAACAAAACCTGTGCTCGCAGAGTTACCTCTTTATATTTCAGTTTGACTATTTCCATATCTCTACTCTGCAGCCTACACATAAAACTTATCTCACTTTTCATTACAAAATAAAATAAATCAAAGAATAATAAATTGTTTACAAGAAAACTAACCTATTTTTATCAGGTTGAGTTGAACTGGCCATTAAACCAATTTTTGATGAGATCTGCCTTTCTTTTTCGGTTAAAGTGTCTCTGATTTGAAACATTGCTTTCTTTTTTACTGCCATTTTTGATTCTGTTGCTTTTAAGATTCTTTTCAAACGAGCAGTTTTCTGTTTCAAGTCTACATATTCTGTGTTATTTTTATCAAAATCATTTACTATATCATTCATTAAGTTTATTTCTTCCATAATTGTACAACTATAAAAAAATAAATCACTGTAAATAAAAAATAAATAGAATAAATATAAATGAAACAAAAACATTTGCTAACCTCACTAAGTTAGGAAAGCTTTTTTTTGCAATACTATTCTCCACTGGGCAAGCTTTATCAATTTTTGGTGGAGGTTTATTCAATGAAGATTTGCTAGTATCAAAAATATCTGATGGAGATGATGAATTTTCAACCTTGATGGGTTTATCAACTGCATCAATATTTTTACTGACTGTTTCAAGGGTGGTAATAAAAGGACCTGAGGAATTTTCTGCGATTATTGAGCTATTCGATAAGTTGTTTAGAGAAATTGTATTGTCAGTACTCATAATGGGCATCAAAGCACTAATTGCTGAATCTTTTACATCAGAAGAAACTATATTACATATATTGGTGTCTTTTGAGGGCTCAATTATTTTAGATCGAGTAACTTGTAAAACTTTTTCTTTTTCAGCAATTTTTTTCTTTAATCTCTTATATTCTTCTTGTTGCCAAGCTGGTAAATGTTTCAAAACCTGAAAAATATAAAGATTAAATAAACAACATCAATAATAAGACATAGAACAAAACAGTCAGACAGTAGCATTGAAAAAATAGGAATGAAACTGATATAATGAATTGCTAATAACACAAATGATCCATATAAAAAAATATCAAATCTATCAAAGTTCTGTATACTAAATTGATCACACGGTATACACAATTTCGAAAATATTTGGGTGTATAAAAAATAAATTAAAACAAAAAAAAAATCTGTCATCACTACACCCATGAAGGGTCTTTGGTCCAAGGCAACCTCAGCCATACATGGGCCGGGTGAATGAGAATAGAGGCACCGTGAACAAGTAGAAAAAGGCAACCAATTTCCTAGTTAAAGCTCTCGTCTCGATTGAAAAAGGTTTATTAAGAGTTTGTTCATACATTTTGAGCGAGCATAGCAAGTGGAAGTCGAAAGTCACATCAAATTAAACAAAATACACCCATGAACATGATTTTTGATCAGCAATTTTCAGAAATACATCTAGTATGATTGATGCTATTTGCTATTTGCCCAATTAGAGAGACATTTGCTTGATTTTACCTTGAATTCACAGAATAATATTTATTTAGCAAAATAATGTATCTACAGTTTATCTGTTCTAATATAAAACAAAAGGTTCCAGATAGTATGAAGTGCATCATTTTGGTTATCACTTGTCTGTGACCAGTTACAATACTCTTCAGAGGGATTTAAGTTTTTTTTTCTTAAAAAATTACGTCAGAGGCATTTCTAGATTATCAAATGCTCTCAAAAACAACTATTAGATGGTTTTACGACATGCGTTAAATTCGCCAGTTGTAAATGGGGTTGTGGTGTCAGATTCTTCGAGTGCCCTTGAAGGCATGAACATGTATCCAGACCACCTAGGAATATATACTATTTTGGGGCTCATAAAACAGCTAAGAGACATTGTAACATTAGTACATTTTTTATGGTTCCATGGTCATGAAGGCATTGGTGGGAATGAATTGGCTGACAGAGCAGCAAAAGAAGCTCTTACCCTTCCAGGATGTGGTAATGCCTTCTTAACTTCGTCCGAACTGGCGTGACCTCTGAAAGAGGCCATACACCAGGATTGGCAGACACTATGGGACAATATCCCTCCAAATAAACTAAAGGTGATAAAAAAAAGGAAGTGAAGCCATGGAGCTGTTCAAGTCGCAGTAAACGCAGAGAGGAAGTTGTCCTAAGACTAAGAATAGGTCATACCAGACTTATGCACCTTCACTTAATTACGAAAACGCCCATTTGTTGGAAGTGTGTAGTGAGAATGACAGTGGCCCATATCTTCGAGAGTTGTGCCTTTTTAGAGAATTAAAAATAAGGAGAATACCAACAAATGCACCGGCTGCTTTGGGGAATGATGAAAAAATCTTAGGCAAAATTTTCTCTCTGAAGAACGAATCTTAAAAAATCTATGAACCTGCCACATAGCACTCCCCACCTCTTTTTTTTCTTCTACATTTTTTTTCTTTTTCTCTTTTACCTAACTTTAAATAACTAAACTTCAATAACCGTAAATAACTTTAACCTTAACGTGAATTATATTTATATTTTACATCTTTTTAATTTTATCCAATTCTTAATATTCATAACCAACAGGTTTTATGCCTTTACTATACAAAAACAACTATTAGAACAATTTAAAGTTAAGAATTGAACTTTTAAATTAAATCTTCAAGGTCAACAGTTTGTAAATGAAATGCATGTTTTTTAAATATAGAATAAAATAATTTTCCTCTCATTAAATTCTGAGTATGTTGAGGTACTTAATAGTTGATAATTTTAATAACAGATATTGAAATTGCATACCCGACCTAATATACAGATAACTAATAAAATAACCAATTACTAACATTATAATGATTTTATATTTATTTTAATTTTTTTTTCATAATAAAAATTTAATCTGTCATTTTTTTAGCAAAAAGCATTGTAGAAAAAAGTGTTAATATTGAAATTTATTATCAAATACCAGATAATCAAGGTTTTACAATATCGGTAATTTATTCCAAAAAGTCATTTAGTAATATTTTATAAACTAGATTAAAGTAAATTGGTGAATTTTCCTTCTGCTAAATCTGAAAATTTTGTACTAAGTGAAACTATTTTAGACATATAATATGGTTTGCATTATATTGATGTACCTAATGGGTTTTGGGAGCAATGAACATGATTAAAACTCATTAAATGTGAATTTGAAAATGTAGCTCCATCAAAAGTACGCCCAGTAACTTTTTGAAATAAATCAAGGATATGCTGTAAGTAGAAAACTTTTTCTATGATTACAAATAAGTATACCTGTGGTGTCTTAACTGAACTACAAGAACTAGATGAGCTTGAACTTGAACTACCATGGGTTTCGACATTTGGTCTTTTAATTTCCTGTAAAATAAAAAAATGCAGACATATATATTCATTTATTTATATATCGTAATCAAGTTTCTTTTATAGAACCTTTTAAAATACCAATACCACATACAAAATGGGTTGTTTGGAAAATAATGCAGGATTTTTGTTAAAAAGAAAGATTTACAACTATTTTATTTAATCAAATAGTCTTCAATATTATCAATATATTTCTGCCTAAGTGTTGGCAACTTTTCCATCCCCTCGGAATAAAATTTCCCATATTTAGAACTGATGAACTCCAAAAACACATTTTCTAATTCCATTTGCCCATTCAATTTTTACGTAATGTTACGTAAGTACTGGTCCTGGTGTCTAAAAAATGATAATCCATAGCTGAGAGGTCTGGAGAATAGGGCGGATGTGGCAGAGTTTCATATCATGTCCAAGTTCCAACAGTTTTTTTTACGTCACATGTAAGACATGTGGCTGGGCATTGTCATGCAACAAAATGGCCCCTTTGGATTGACCAAAGATGGCTTATTACTGCCAATTTCTGTTGCATTGCATTAATTTAGGAACAATACGATTCGGCATTGATGGTTTCTTCAGGCTTTAAGAACCTGTAGTGTATCAAACCAAATAAGCCCAACGGACAGTAAACATCATCTTTTTTCGATGAGTTGGGGGCTTTGGAAAATGTTCTGCTGCTTCTCCTTTGTCTATTCACAGTCCAGAACGCCGTCCACTGTTATCGTTAAGTATCCACTTTTCATCACAAGTAACAATTCTGGACAGAAAAGGGTCATTTTTGTTTATGAAAATTAGGCTAAACTGTGTAGAACAAGCACAGCTCTCATTCGATTGAGCTAAGAGGAATTCCCACGAAGACCAGAGAAATTCCAGAGGGGATGGTTTTGTGGCCCTGGGTATCAGTCTTAATTCCGAGGACCTGGATTTTATGGAGAGAAAGCGTTCAAGAGGAGAGAAAACACGGCCCCCGTCGATCGTCGTGCATTTTGTTCGCCAGACGATCTGGTACAAGGTGTTACGACTTTGAAGGATAAGAAGGGACTTCACCACCAGGCACCTCGGCTGGGAGAGCCATGAAAGGATCTACATCAGGAAAGAAACAGACAAAAGCAACCGCCATCTTTACTGGCAGGCTAGACAGAACAAGGCCGCCGGAAAAGAGGGTGTGTTCCATATGCCGAAAAGCCAATGGATTGCAGGTTGTCATCATCAACAAGGATGAAGATTTAGTCGTATTTCAATGACGGAAACCTCAGTCACCTCTCTGCCTCATGTTTTTTTAGTAGTCACCAGGATTTTTTTATGCATTTATTTTTCACATCTTCCTCAATACCTAATTTTCCCTACAAGGAATATTATTTTCATTTCTTTATTAACTAGAATATTTGGAGTTTTGTTCGTTTAGTTCTTTAGTTATTTTTGTACATATATGCACATAGTCGTTATTCTTATTTTATTATTTCTTTTTTTTTCTAGTGTTAACAGTCTTTCATTTTTACCAGTTGCAAATGTTTTATATTTTATCAAACCTCACTATAAATTGTCTTGTTTAACTGTTTTTTCTAGGTCTAAGAAACTCAAATTCATTCATTTATGATTGCCCCCTTCCTTTCCAAATTTTCAATGAAGTGTATCCCTCCTTATCCTAAATGACTAATATCCTATTAACGTGCCATGTTAACTCCCAATCCCTTCTGGCCCACTTTGATGAATTCCAAGATTATTTCCTTCATAATTTTTTCCATATTATTGTTGTTTCAGAAACCTGGCTCAAACCAAATATTTCCTTCTCCTCTATATCCAACCCTAACAACATCCTCATCCGTTATGACTAGGTGGACCAAACAGGTGGGGATGTCAGTGTTTACGTTCATGAAGTTCTGAGGAAAAAAATCCTCAGGAAGTCTCCCTCTTCCGACATTCCCTTTTTGGAGTACTTATTTGCAGAAATTCCCTCAGATTCCTTTTCCCTTCTCTATGTCATTACATACTGCCCTCCCTATGTCCGATTTGATCCTTTCTTCAAATCCTCCCTTTTTAGGTACGTTCCTTCATATAACAATACAATAATACAGGCGACTTTCATACAAAGTTATCCTCAGACTTTCCTGACAAATCATACCTTGGGGATCTTATCCATTCTCTTGAACAAAACATCGTTTTTTTTCAATTGAATTTTTTTTAATTGACTCCTTCCAAAACTTAAGGTCCTCCTCCCAGAATCCGGTGACCTCATCAAGATTTCCTATAACGTCCCGACTCCTAAGTTCATTTCCAGACAAATTGCATGGCGGGATCTTGGCTCCTTAACCTCTAAAAAACTAAATTCTTTCCTGGAATCACTAGCCCAATCCTTAGATCCCTATCCAATCTATTCCTATTCCTCCATTGATGAAATGCTGGAGTGTCTTTCCTCTATTCTTCTATTCCCAAATCAGCACACACCCTTAAAGACCTCAACCCTCCTGCTCCCTGGATTAATCCAGAAATAAGAGAATTAATAATGAGAAGAGATGCTGCAAGGAGGCGTTTCAGATACACATGTAATCCAGAAGACTACTTCTCTTTCAAGACTCTTCGAAACATTACCCAATCTTCCTTGCAACGTGCTAAGGCACAATTCTTTTTTACTTCCTAATCACAAGCCCCAGATCCTAAGTCAAATGGAAAATCCTTAAAAATCTCTCCGTAGTAAAGTCAAAAACCTGTACATCCTACCCTGTTTCTTCCGATCAACTGAATTCTGATCCTTGCAAACCCTGATTCATTACCACTTACCTCCTCAAACTGCATTCTAAAAATTTCTATTTTGCAATTATTTCATAAGCAAACCTACTTTCCTCTGTCCTAAAGTCCAGAACATATGACTATATTGGATCTAATTCCTGTAAAGTTAATCAAACTATTTCTTCATGTCATATATTATATCCTACTACATATCTATAATTTTTCCTTACAAAATTCCAGTTTCTTGTTAGCCTGGAAAAAAATTATTGTTCACTCGTTAAAGAAATTTCCACTTCCCTCCAAAGTTTTTAATTTCATACCCATCTATATTCTCTCCAACCTCTCAAAAGAATTGTCCATACACAGCTTAACACCTTCCTAGAACAAAAAGCCCTCCTCAATCCCCTCCAGTCTGGTTTCCGATCCCAGTTCTTCACCCAGTCAGCTTTGCTGAAAATGACTCAAGACCTTCATTTCTCCAAAGACAAACAGAAAATTACTATTTTGGTCCTCTTTGCTTTCTCAAAAGCATTCGATTCAGTCAATCATGAAATCCTCCTTTCCAAACTCTAAAACCTCTCCATATCAAATAGTGCTCTAAAGTGGTTTCATTCCTTCTTGTATCAAAGATCTTAAACAGTCATCATACCTAATAAAACTCCTTCCTGCCCCCTCTTAATAACCCGTGGTGTTCCTTCTCTCCCTCAAACTCTTTTCTCTATCTACATCAACTACCTTTCAGATTCCATCCATCATTCACAATATCATTTATATTCTGACAACCTCCAAATTTACCATTCCTTTCATCCTTTAAAGATGCTGAAGTGATCCAAGGGCTTTAAGAAGACATTTTAATGATCAATAGCATCAATACTTGGGCAGTGAGCAACAATTTAAAATTGAATGTTGAGAAGACCAAAGCCATTCTCATCGGTTCCAATCCCATCTGATTGATTCCATTCCTTATTATCCCCTATTCTACCTCAATGCCCTACTTATACGTTTTCACACTTCCATTAGAAACCTTGGGGTAATATTTGATCAATATCTATCCTGGAATAATCATATTTCCTAAATAATCCCAAAATCCATTGTTACTCTCAAACAGATTCTGTAATTCTATGTCCCTTAAAATCTGTCAGATCCTAGTTCCCTCACTCATTTCGATTATGGCTGCCTTGTATATGGTGGACTGCCAGGTGGGCATGACATCAGATTAAAGAGAATAATGAATTGTTTCATTTGATTTATTTTTGGGGTCCCACATCTCCAGTTGGTATGCCGAGTTAAAGCGGCTCTATCCAGTATTCCGATGGCAATACTTCCTAGGTGTATTCCTTTTTCGAACCTTTTTAACAATAAAACCTTCTCTTGTTTACATTTTGTTCCTCTGTCCATTCATTCAACACGAGATCCCAGCCCTAAAACCTGTTTATTCCTTCTCATAGAACTGTTTCCTTTAAAAAATCCTTTGTCATACATGCTACCTTGTTTTGGAATGCCCTACCAACCTCCATATGCAAATCCTCATCGTTGACCTCATTTAAACATAATTTATTTCTATCCATCTCCTCAGCAATCAATCTTCCGAATATGTGTAAATAATGTTAACGTTTTTCAGACCTGTCAGTCGCATTTAATGTTATTCTACAGATGATTATATATCATCTACATGGTTTATGTGAACAAATATGTGAAAATGTGAACTCTCAAATCTACAATTTCATATGTCTACCAGCGCCTTTTCATTATTGTAATTTTAAATCTAGATAACCCTGTAATTTAATTTATTCCTTATTATTTCTAATGCCAGATAATTGTCATTAAATTGTAAATTGTAATTATTCTAAGAGGACTTAGTCCCTGAATAAAATTTATTTTTATTTTTCTTCTTTTAACTAAATTTCTTCACATCGAACCTTCTTTGAAATAAACTAAATTTCAATTAACTACAAGCAAACTTATTACGTTCAATGTAAAATGAGATCTATTCCTTATTCAATCCAGGGTTCCAAATCTTCTAGAACTTCTTTGAACGTTTTGGAATCTTTCAAATTATATAATATTTTTAATATATAAAACCATTATAATATTAAATTTAATTTTCCATTAAGTAGGTTTGACCTTTGTTCTTTTTATAGTAATTAATTGGTCAGAAATAAATTAATCAAAATTAGTCTGATTAATTTCTTTCTGATCAATAGGCAAATGGAATCAATATTGAATTTAATATTATAAAAATCACACATAACTGATAATATAAACTGAGGATAAAATCATCACTTAAGTATATAAAATGAAATGGTAAAGTTACTAAGAATGGAACATCAAGCCCATTGAATAAAAACAAATAAACCATAGAAATCCAAAACCAGCCAAATCCATTTTAAATTTGTTTATTTTTGGTATGTAAATAATATTTCATCCCTAAAATGCAATAATTTTATGTTTTTATATGTTATATTATTACTATTTTTATGTATTTAGCAAGTTTCTATAATGAATTTATTACTTTAAATTATATTGTGGACTCCTCTGGGGAGAGCCTAGTTAGATACTGAACCAAACCTTGAACAAAGGGTCAAATTACAAAGCATTTTTATATATTTAATTTGTTAATTATACAAGCATAATGGCTCCCTATTTTAGCTGCACCAGTTTTATAATTTATTGCTTTTTTATTATGTTTAATGATAAATATGGATTCTATTATTTTTCTGTGTGTACTATTAGTTTCTTTATATAATATTTGTGGTTATGTTAAATTGAATGTATGTCTATTTGTAATGCTATGGTGGACTAGGGCTATTTTATTGTCTATTTTACTATTTCTTGAATCATTAAAATGTTGGTTCATTCTTTTTTCTAAAGAATGTAATTTTACACGCTCTAACAATGAGATTTTTTGCTGTGTTTATTATTTGATATTTTGGATGTTGGGTATGGAAATTTAATAGTCTATTACTTCTTAAATATATATATATATTTTTTAGTTCATTTTGTGTTAAAAGAATTATCATTGTTTTAAAATCTTAACTTGTTATCTATAGGTTTTTCTATTGTGATTATTATTTTGTTATATCCATTAAATATAGCCAGCAAACCTTTATATTGATCTTTTTCAGTTATGATGAATAAGTCATCTAAATATTTATTTATGCCGACTGTTTTAATTAATGTTTTTTCTAATGATATATTTATTAATTCATCCATTCATACATATACCACTTAAATTTGAACACATCGATAGTCAACCCATGTCATTTTGTACATGTTATTATTCAACATAAAGTAGCAATTATTTATGCATAATTTTATGCCTTCCATGAATAATATTTAATTTTTGATAGGGGTACATGGTTCTATTTCATCCTATTTATCATTTATTATTTTTATGCATGAAACAGTGCCTAATAAAAACATAAAATTATTGAATTTTAGGGATGAAATATGGAAATATAAAAATAATAAAAAAATTATGATAAATCTTATAAAAAAAAAAATAAAAATTATTGAAGGAAGCTAGTTGACTGTTCTACATATCATGGGTGATAAATAGTCAGGGCGCAGTCAATTATACAAATTTTTTTATTTGTGCCAACGTTTCAATCCAAACATGTGGGTCATCTTCAGGACGTGGTTCGAGCACTGAAGGCTTTCAACTACTGGAAGTCTGAGTACTTGAAAGCCTTCAGTGCTCGAACCACGCCCTGAAGATGAGCCACATGTTTGAGTTGAAAGGTTGACACAAATAAAAAAAATTGTATAATGACTGTGCCCTGACTATATATCACCAAAAAAATAAGAGGATATTAGGATGAGATACTGGTAAGATTGGCAATTTCTGTTATTGTCGTTAAAAGTTAATATAAAAAATATTGTATGCTAGTATAAAAATATAAATAACAAAAATGTTTTAATTTCTAGTCTGAGGATGGGATAAGAAATTGGATCCCGAAACTTCATAAAAAACAAAACAAAAAAAAAAAAATTGTTGGGAGAGTAAATGCTGTTATATAATGTTATTTATAATACCTCAGATAAAAAGTATCTCCCTAAGGAGTTATGAAGAAATTGTTTATTTTTTCTGATTAACAGTTTTGGTAATAGATTATTCTCTTGTAATGCTCTTGAATCAGAGGTGTTTTAACTGTTTACAAAAGAAACTTTTTACTTCTAGTACCAAAACTGTTAATAAAAAAGTATCTTTGAGTACTTGATGAAATTAAAAAAGTTTGTGTCTTTTCATTGTTATCAAATCTTAATTTTAAAATTCAAAATGAAGAATTCAATATAATTGGGTAAAAATAAATAAAACAAGGACTCACTGCCTGAACTACCAAAGGAGTGGAAGCACAGAGTTGTAATGACATGGTATTTTCTGGCAGCTAAAAATAGATTATTGGTCATTAATAAATTTATATTCTAACAAGTATGCTTAGATCATACTAAATAATTAAAATATGTACCTGTTTTTTCTCCTCATTATCGAGTTGTTTAGAAATGGAAGAACTATCTATAACTCCCTTCTCCAGCTGAGAATTTAGTTCAGCCTCACGAAGAAGAAGATCTATGTTCGCCTCTATTTCAGGAGGGACTAGATCTAATTTAGACAAAGACTTTACAGGTTCCGAAGTCGAATTGTCTAAATCACTAGACGAATCTGAATCATCTAATTTTATTATCATTTGAGCGACCTGAGGGATTGGTCGCACATTGGATGCATTGTTTAGTTGGATTTGCTTACTGCTGTCACTTTTCTGGAACACCTTGGGCTTTCTGAAATGATTGATAGAAATGAGAGCCTCCTGTCTAGCTTTTCGAACAGGAGCAATACCCTGTTTCCAAACCTTTTTGTTAAGACTATTCCTCAATTTTCTTTTATCTATTTTCTTTATTACTTGCTTTTTTGAATTATGCTCATTTATTAAATTTACAACTGGCTTGAATATTCTAGTATTTATAATTCTCTCTTTGCTAATTGGTTCTAGGACACCAGCCGTCAAACTTTCAATCTTCGCACTTTCTTCACTGACCTGTTTTGTTAACGAACTTAAAAGTTTTGCTCTAAGAATATCTTCATCCAGGTCATCTTCCCAATTGTCACCACTTCCTGCACCAGTACTTTCGGATTCACATAAGGATGCAATAACTTTATCGGTTGGTTTATTGGAAATGTGTATTACACCATTTTCAATAATTTGAGGATTATTTTCATTTGTATCAACATCATTAACAGTTGCAGATATTTTGCTTTTATTTTTCTGTTTCACAGAAAGAAGAGCCAATTCTCTTAGTTCATTTTCATCAAGATCAGCAGACGTATTTGAAGCATTGATATTTTTAGTGGTATCAATCATATTTCCCTTTGATCTCCTACGTTTTTTCCATCTTGATCTTCTTGTTTTCGACTTGTGTGAACTGATGGAATATTGATAATTTTCAGTCAATTTTTGATCTAATGGTGTCTGCTTAAGTTTAATGTTCTTGTAATTAACTGAATTTTCCCACTTGTTTTTTAATAGTGTATCAGAAGAAGCAACAGCAGTAGTAATTAGATTGTTAGAAGAAAGATTAGAGTTAGAATTTGACACTTGACAGATATTTGTTTTCTGTGGATATTGACCTACAGAAAAGAATAATGGATCCACAAATACTGATGAATTTCCTTCTGTTCTAGCAACTGCTGTTTCTGATATAATTGCCTCTTCAGTAGGTTTATCATTAACAATAACCATATCTTCAGGCTTGAGTATGTCACCTGAGATATCAGTTGCATTGAAGCAATGAACAGCATTACTTTTTGCTGTGTTGTCATTAGTTTTCAGAATAACTGTGTCATCATTCTTCTCATCCTCAATATCACTTCCAAGTACAAATTCTTCCAAAAAGTCATCCGATTCATCAGATTTCTTTTGATAAATAAGTCCTTTCTTCTTACGGTCATTAAACTTCTTAACCCATGCACTTCTTAATGCTTCAACTCGCAAATGAAGTTCATCTTTGTCTTCTTTCATAGACCTTATCCATTTAACTTCTATCTTCTTTGGTTGTTCAGATAACATTTCGGTCTTTTCATAGTCATCAGATTTTTCATCAGGAGTCACAGTATTTTCCATTTGATGGTTACCTTCAGATGAAGCCTCTAAATGTTCATTCAATTTACAAACTGGTATAACATCTGAATCAATATTTTCTGGTTTTGGTTGAAAAAGAGAAGATTCATTTTCCTTAATTGGTTTTACACCAGTTGTACCAGAACCAACTAAACGTTTTAAAAGGCTAGTTTTAGAAAAACTATTGTCATTACTGATTGTTTCAGTTTTAGGTATTTCTACAGATGCAACCTTTGGGGGAGGAGGCGTTGGAGTTTTATAATTTGATTTATAGTGGTTATCTTTATTCAGCTTATTTCTATGATAATGAACATTTTTTTCAGGTGGCTTCAATTTATTCCTAGGAGGATTACTCCAGAACCTCTTATTATTGTGTCTGTTTTCCTTTTCATGGTAATCTGAAATGAGAAAAAAATAATATAATTTATGAAAAATATGTCTGAAATTTGTACAGTTGAAAAAAAAAATGTCAAAAGTTTTACCGTGTACCACTACAGAGGGTGAAGGATGAAGATGCCATAGACGAACAACCCTTTAGTCCAGTCAATGAATGGCGCAAAAGGGAGTGTAGAATGCATGAGCAGGGACCTAAGCGATTCCTTCAGAAACCTGTTCAGGTGTGAACATAAAAGTCCTGATATCTAAGTGGTGAGCCGGGAGGAGGAGGAGGGAGGAAAGATCACAATGTTTGGGTTTTGGTTTATATCTTGAAAATGGTGCATTGCAGAGGAACTTTTCTTACAATAAATGAAAGTTTATCAAATTATCTAAAACATTTATTCTATAGGTTTCCTTCCAGTTCTTAACTGTTTTCGAGCTACATGCTCAGAAAAAGTTGACAATGAGTTGAAAGTATGCCAAATTCCAATCCTAGACTATTCTCAGAATCCCATATATAGCGTGATCATAAGATCTTGGCCTATTCAGCAAAGTGGAATCACATTCCTACTGGAAATCGAATCAAAAGAAAGCAAATTGAATAAAACAAACAAATTCTGAACAATATAGTTAATTTTTTCTTTATTTTCTCATATATCTTTAAAATGAGACGTCACAGAAGAACAATTGCAGTATAAAAAATTAAAGTTCATATTTATTTCTGTCGTATCTGTTATACATATCAAAAATATTCACTAAATTAAATGATGATTTTTGAAAAATTAATTTTTGCCTCACGTCTTTTGTCGAACTCATTTTTCTAATACCACAACCTTTTGTTGTACAAGCAAATCGTCTGATAGAAAATTGTAGAATATGGTTTTTTCTATAAATCCATATATCCTTTACTGATTTATTTTTCATGAGTACAAAGTTATGGCAAATTTAAATATTCTGCTAAATTTTGTCAATGCATAGGCAAAACTGTAATTTGTCGATTTTTTAGTATGAATGGTCACCATTACCATTTGAAGGATGTATAGTATATATTAATAAATAACATAAAGATATATATAATTATAAGAGTACTAACCACATATTGGCTAAAGTTGATTATGTTTTATGACACTTTGCCACATTTTACATAATGAAACCACTTTTTGACATCTTAAGACACTGCCCCATTTTACATAATGAAACCACTTTGTGACATCTTTTTGTATATGACATAACTAAACTGTGTTTGATCGCAATGAAAAACATATTTTTGGATTAATGGTTGACTGTAGTGAATAATTGAGGAGAAGATTGGTTGGGGTGATCAGTCAAAAAATAAAAATAAATAAGTATATTAAAATAAATATATTTAATATACTTATTTAATTTAATAACTATACTTATTTATTTATTTTGATAGATCACTTCAACCATTCTTCTCTTCAATTATTCACTATAGTCAACCATCAACCCACAATTAAGATATGAAAAATTAATTAATAACAAAAAGTAATGGAATTTATGAAATAAAAATCTAGCGTGGTGCCCGCATCACACAACTTTCATTTACCACCCTCTTCTTAGAGGAAATAAGTATTTTCAGACTAAGAAGTGAAAGTAAAAATTATAAACGTTATATTGATTTATATTTCATTGTGGATATTTTTATTTGTTTAAGTGCTCTCACATATACAAATTTTAATATTTATATCGCTGTAATCTATACAATTAAATATTAAATAATACCAATGAAAACATTTAGGGAAACCGCATATGTATATGTGCATAATATTGTCAGTGTCCATATTATATTAAGCTTATGTTACTGTAGAAGCCTGTTCTAATCTTCGGACCAGCTCGGCCCCACTCATATTCCTTTGATTCCTTCATTACAACTATTCTCTGTTACAATTTCTTATTTCTCCTTTAGTTAATTATCAATTTCTTTCATATTTTGTATTTAATTATTTTTTATATATTGTCAAATAAACAATTTTTATATTAGGGATAAGTGTGAAATGGTTAATTGTTTCAAATAAAAAAAATTAAAGGAACTTTAGAAGAAGCTAATATTGAAAATCAGCCATTTATGCCCTGTTAGAAAACATCAATGAGAATAAAACCTACATAATATTAAAAACTGCTTAATTTTAAACTAATATAATGAATTTAATACACAAATCTTAAATATGCAATTTCAATTTCATGTGAATTTTCGTTTTTGAGCTAGACCTGTCATATACATACAGACACACGTACACAGACCATTTGGTGGGACTTGGTTATTTGCACTCAGAGACCTCAAAACATGTATTTCCATTGAAAATTCCGAAATTCATGACTGCAATACTGTCCCTTTTGATACATTTCATATATAGGTAAGTGAAAGTAAAAAACGTAAGTGTAGACAAAAATAAATAGGATGACAAAGTTGCTAAAATATGATGTAATAGTAGGCTAAAAGGAAGTGAGATAATAATAGATGTAAATAGAAAATTAATGAAGAGAAGAATAGTTGGGGTGGTCAGTAAAAAAAAAATGATAATATTTATTTTTTACATATGCCGACGTTTCGACCTGAAGTTCAGGCCTTCATCAGGGCTAAGAAAATAACCAGATAACAAGGTATGAGAAACATAAGTAGTGATGGTAAAAAATATAATAAAAAATAAAAAAAATTAGAAAAATAAAATAGATAAATATAAAGTAAAATGAAATTGCTAGAATAATGACTAAGAACTAAGAGATAAATAATAATATTAAAAATTAGTTCTTAGTCATTATTCTAACAATTTCATTTTACTTTATATTTATCTATTTTATTTTTCTAATTTTTTTTTATTTTTTATTATCTTTTTTACCATCACTACTTATGTTTCTCATACCTTGTTATCTGGTTATTTTCTTAGCCCTGATGAAGGCCTGAACTTCAGGTCGAAACGTCGGCATATGTAAAAAATAAATATTATCATTTATTTTTGCCTTCCTTTTTGACTGACCACCCCAACTATTCTTCTCTTCATTATCCACGACAGTCAACCAATTACCAATTATAAATAGAAAATTGTGATACTCTAAAATCTATCGAAACATACTAACTACGTGTAAGAGAATAAAAAGTTTATTCTACTTACATTTTTAGAATATAGCTTTTACCTACATATTAATTTTATAAACATACTTATTTATTTTTCTATATTGACTGATCACCTCAACCATTCTTCTCTTCGAAAAACATATTTATTTACAAAAAAGCAACATTACAAAAATTACATGTATTTTCTAAGCGAGAAACAAGTTGGTTAAGTATAGTAAAACATCCTTTATCGATTTGAAAAAAATCTGGTGTGATACGCGCATCACTCACCCCCATCACAACTTTCAAACACCACCCCCCTTTTTAGCAGAAATAAGTATTTCCAGACAAAGGGAAGTGAAAGTAAAAATTATAGACAGTACGGAACATTATTTAAAACAATTAATTACCATATGTTTTTCAAAGCCGTCTAATTCATTATATTTATTTTGTTTAACACTATCCATTTCCTTTTACAACTGCATATTTCAATTATTTATTTGATTATAATAAATAATTAAGTGTCATGAAATATTTTTAGTCCAACAAGAGTGCCACTGATAAAGGCAGCTATATTTATTTATATTTCATTGTGGGTATTTTTATTTGTTTAAGTACCGGTATATATATATATATATACATAAGTACCAGTATATATATATATATACCTGTAGTGGTACAGGTTAGATTACAGCGGTTTATAAATTTAAAGGTTTATACATATATAAAATAGCAGAAAATTTATATATATATATAAACCTTTAAATTTATAAACCGCTGTAATCTAACCTGTACCACTACAACCCATGAAGGGTCTGGGGTACAGTACTATTTAGGGAAAGCACTGTTTCTAGGTCAACGGTTGTGCAAGGAGGTGATTTGACTGAGATCACGCTCAACCGCCAGGTTTTCCCCCTTAATCAATTATATAATTAAGGGTACCCACTTTATAGAGGCTGGGTGTGCCCCAGGAGAGACTCCTGACCCAAGGTCGCCCCACGGCCAATGAAACAGATAAATAAATTTTCTGCCATGAGCCGGGGTTCGAACTCGGGACCTTTGCATCGGAAGCTCAGTGCCCTACCACTGAGCTACCCCACTCCCTGCTGTAATCTAAACAATTAAATATTAAATAATAACAACACTAGCATTTATGAAAACAGTATATGTACAGAATATTATCAGAGTCTGTATTACATTAAGCTCATGTCACGTATGTAAGCCTGCTCTGATCTTTCAGGCATGGTCAGGTGCGCCCATATTGCTTTGGTCGTTCTATTACAATTATCCTCCGTTACGATCTCTTATTTCTCCTTTAGTTATTCATCAAATTCTTTCATATTTTATATTTAACTATCTTTTATATCATAGTTCAATTAGAAATGGTTAATTATTTCAACAAAAAAAATTAAGGGAGCTTTAGAGGAAGAAATATTGAAAATTATCCCTGTTAGAGAACATCAATGAGAATAAAATCTACATTATATTAAAAACTACTCAATTTTACACTTATATAATGAATTTAATCAAAATTGTTAGAGAAAATCCAAAAAATGTGTTAAATCAATGATATAAAGTGGCACTTTATATAACATAGTGGGTGTAGCTACAATAAATTTTGGTTTGCTAACTCCAATAAAGGGTTGTAGAATCAATATAAAGTCAACGAAGAATGGGCTAATATAAGATATGTGAAAAAAAGATTGAATTTACTCGTAATAAAAATTAAGCTTGAACCACATATTCAGAAACATGAATGGTTATTACAGAAATTATACATGATGTTCTTATCAATACTAATGATAAATTAAAAATAATATCCATTCAAATATTTCATGGCGGCAGAAAATAGAATAATAAATACAGCTATAACTAATTTACATAAATATCAACACATTTTAATAATATTAGTAAGCTTAAGAAATACCTTTATAATCAAATCTATGAAGTATTTTTGGAGCAGGATCAGGTCTTACTTTGTAAGGGCTCACAGGCCTACATTTTAAATGTTTGACGACAGGCACTGGATCAGGTTTCCTTGGAAAAACTCTTTCAACAGTGGACTGCGTTGTTACTTCAGAAATTGTTTTATGTTTATTAGAACTTTTTGCCTTCCTAATTCTAGCATAGCAATGCTTGCCTTTCCTTTCTTTTCTACAAACACTATTTTCTTTGCACTTATGGTCCTTTCTGCGGTGTTTAGTGCTCTGTTTCAGCTTCTCAATAACGGAATCTCTTTTATCGGCCTCTTTATTACTATTTTGCAATTGACTTGATTCTTCATCACCACTACTGAATTCTTCTAGTGAGCTCACCTCGTCATACAAATTATCACCATCCAATATTTCCCCCTCTTCATAGTCATCTGAGAGGATTTCTTCTACGTCTGTCGGCAAATCCATTTGTATAAAAATTAAATATAATTACGAACACAAACTTACTAACACTTTTATCATTGCTTGAGAAACAGCAACCATTGCCATCGCCTCTATCATAACAACTGGTTGTATGATAATTAAAAAAAATATGTTTCTATTCTTGAATATTTCTTTTTTTATGTCATTAAATATTTTTTCATTGTTGATAAATAGCACTTTTCATACTTTTAAGTACTATTTACAAAATAGTATACAAATAATGCACTCTATTGGCTATGGCGCGAAGGCTTCTTATGGTCATTCCTGACCGTTCGATAGGTAGCAGCACATTCTGTGGAGGAAGTTGTGTTCCGTCAGTTGGTGGCGGCAACTGTTAGTGGAGGTTTCTATCGGTTCTCGGACATAGGTAAACCGAGTTTTTCAGTGCCTGGGTGTTAATAATATTTTCCTGTGATGTGTTGTCTCGTAATCTGATGTTTGTATCAATTTGGGATTAACATGGATACTTTTAATAAGGTTAGTCTCTTTTTAATTGTACTGATAAAAACAGTGGGATGATAGCCTGGACCAGTTCATGTTTTTATTAATTATCAAATGTTATCCTGAAGTTGAAGTTTATTTTTCTTTATATTTATTTTATTTCTGATTTTATTAGAATTTCACAAATTATTTTTACTTGGAGTTATATTTGTTTACCATTTGGATGAATTTCAAATATAACTGTTTCCCCATTTTTCAGGATTAAATGGAAAATTTACAATTCTAATTATGTTTTTTTTTTTTTTTGTGAGGTTATTCATTTATTTATAGTAGTTTTTATAATAATATATTAAATAGTTTTTATTTCGATTTATAATCATTTAATATTATTTCTATTCTATTTGATGTTTTTGATACGTTTATTTTATATTTTGTTAAATGCCCTTTTTTTTTTATTTTATTTTAAGTTATTCTTGCAGTATGAGCTTTTCCTTTTTTTTTTTTTTTTTTTTGCTTTTAAATTACAATTGTTAACAAAAAGATTTCTGTGCCTTTGGCTGAACTTCGCAATATTTCAATATTTGCTTTTATTATGATGTTGAAAAAGTAATTATTTTATCTGTAACACAGATCCATTTAAAAAAAATCTTGGTTTGTGGTGGTTTTTATTTGTTAAGTAGATGTTTGAGCTGGCGGAAGGGTCACACCCCCTTTGTGCAGATATCCCCTGACAAATTACTGTAGCTCCCCTGCTTTGTTCCTGGAGTCATTAATTATTTTTATTGGCGACAATAAGAATTTTTATGTCAATTATAGCTCACATTTGCAGGAAGTCAGAAATGTAGTTTAGTTAAAACTATTCTTTATAATTGTTTCATTGAATGTTACTTTGAGCATTATTTCTTTATGTTTATGATTATCTATTTAGAAATTCTTGTTTATAAATAGGTAGGTGTTAAATAAATTGGTTACTGCCAAGTTTTATTATGTTCTGTTTTTCTACTAGGCGCCTTGTCAGGGTCAATGAGATTTATTAAAAATGTTGATTCGTTCTAAACGGGTTTCAATTAATTATTTGGGTTGGTCACTTTGCCTGGTCAATCATTTTTTTCATATGAAATTAATGTTTAAAATTGTATTTTTCCTTTTTTTTTTTTTGTTAGTTTTAGTTTTCATGAAACTTCTTAATCTGTTTATTATTCTTAATTAGAATACATTGTGATATCTTGTAGTTGTTTTTAAAATATGTTTATTATTACTTAGTCATTTTTCTAAATTTAGCTTTGTTTTCACCTGATGAGTAATGTATATCACTTTTATTAATTGAATTTTATTGTTATTTATTACTTACCAAACTTTTCTTCAGTTGGATGAGTAGTCAGCTTTGATTTACTTTTATCAATTTTTAGTTATGTTTCACATACTCCTACAATATTCATTAACTATTTTCACAAAAAAATAAGTATTGTATTTGTTTGTTGATATTAGCTTAGCATCTTCGTTCAGTTAAAACTGTTTATGAAATGATAGGCTTTTAAGTGTCAAGGTGGTATTGAAAGTTTAAATACTGTATAACGGTATCCTCTTTTCCCCAATATGTTTGTTTTGATTATAAATAAGTATATAACTAGTATCATGAATAAAAAGTAGGTATCATTTAATTGAAGTCTGGAAACACCCCATTTACGGTTTATAGTATTAATTTTATTGTCATAGCAACATCATAATTTTTTATTAAATAGCAGAAGAATTCATTTTTTATTTTATGTAAAATGCTGCAATATTTTAGTACTCTCTAATTATTCATGAAATAATTTTGTTGTCTTTGTATATGAATATGACAAAAAGTCTGTAAACACTTTTCCTCACAACAAACTCACTTTAATTAATTGTTTACTACATAATATAGATTTGTGAGCGGGCCTTAGTTTCTAATGAGTTCAAACAAATGGGCTATCATCTATTCTACCAAGTTCGCCATAATTTCTCAAGAAGTGTTTTCTATTCTTCCACAATTCTTTTTTTAAATTCTTTATATTGGGCTGTTACAGTCCAGTGCGAATTAGTATAGGACCTGATATGCAGGAGATTAAATTTATTACAATAAATTGATAAATAGTCCGTGACACAGACCCCTTTGTATCAAACTATTAACATCCTCCTGAAACTTCGTGAATAGCTTTATCTCATCGTAATCTACAACTATTTTATTTACGAAAGTTCTTGGAATTGGAGCGCTTGCTGGAGATCGGCAAACCTGGTCTATTTATTTAGGTACTAAAAACTTGTATGTACCCATTTGCTTTCAACTTGGATCGTAAGTTGATTTGCTCACAAATCGAGAAAAAAGGTGGCTTTAAATAAATATTTGTCCGTTTGGTGTATATAACCTCGTTATTTTGAAATGTTGGAAGTGTCGGCACTCCAAAGGGCCCAATATTTTTGCAGGTCACCTTTTTTCTCGAGCAAATTAACTTAATATCCAAGTGGGAGGCAAATAGGTATATACGAGTTTTTAGTACCCAATCAAACAGACAAAGTTTGCCGATCTTCAGATTTAAAATGCTTCAATTCCAAAAATTTTCGTAAATAAAATAGTTGTAGATTACGATGAGATGAAGCTATTCACGAAGTTTCTGGTGGATGTTAATAATTTTATAAAAAGGGGTCTGTACTACGGCCTATAACTAAAAATAAAAATTGGTAATTTCCAAAACTTTATAGAAAATCAAACTACCAGCCAGCACCATATCATGAAATTATTTTTTCAAATTTAAATTATTAGCAGGACAAAACAAAAATCTGTGAACTCTAAATTAAATCATTACATCAATTTTCTACTAGATGATGTATAATTATAGATAACCTAAACTTGTGGGTCCAGGGTGTCTGTAAATAGAGAAAACCGCGAGTAATTTTTCTAAATAAGAATGATTTTTTTTTCAACTAAATGCAAATCATTTTTAAATAAGCAAAGACATTAGTTCATTCACATGACTTGTTCTGTGGTTCGTATCGACAGACACACAGCGGCGCCTGAAAACTCGTCGAGAATCTAAATCTTATAAACCACCCATGGAATTAAATTAATCGTCAAGCAAGTAAACTATAAATCTAGAACAGGAAATTTTTTTTTGGGAAAAAACAGAACAGGAAAATTTTTGCTATTTACTGCATATAAATAAAATACATTAAGTAAATTTGCTGTATAATAGAAGATATCTTCTTTTCAGATGTCTCTTAGGGAATTGGTTGATATGAAATGTTATGAATTGGAGTGCTTTTGGCGGCAAAAAGTTTAAAATTTAAAGAGATTTATCAATTTCGTGATAATTGGAGTATTGCGATTTTAAATTCGTGACGTAATGAGGAGCATGTTTCTAATAACTTAAAACAAACAACAAAAATCGGGCTTTCATGGATTATAAACTGGGCTCTGATTTCCCCAGGAAACTACCTCCGTTCTTTCACAACTGGTGTTCTTAATTCTCTATTCAATATTCGTCGTTTTCTTACTCAGCGAAGGATTTTAAGATTAGATTGTTTCGTTAAGTCCAAAGTTCAGTTCCATATGACCAATGTGTATGCTAATTATCATGGTATTATAATAGTAGTATATATGAGCTTTTTATAGTGTATTAGAATCTATGATCAGTTTCTTGTCTTCCTTTCTTCCAGGTAAGGATCAGTTTCTTGATTCCAGGTAAATTGCTTCTCAAGATAAAGTCCTTGGTAGTGCATCTGTTCGAAATTATTAATGGTTACAGCAAGATAGAATGTAGTAGGTTTACAAAGGAGGGTAAAAGTAATTTGGTGAGATTTGTTTTAATTCTCTAGTCTTGCCTCTTGCCTGATGTATAACTGCGGAGTTTGGGATGAAGTAGTGGGGCCATATTTGACAGATAACATACATTTATCATCAGTGTAAGTAGTAAAAACAATTGTAGGATGGATTGCATTCTTGGATCATCTGTATAAACCATTCAGAGAATAGGGCATAAATTAAAATAGTACCTTGAAGGACACCAGAAGACTGGGAAAAGAGAGTTGTATATACAAAATTATGATGAACTTTGACGATTCTGTCTTTTATGTAAGAACGGATTAATTGGAAACATTTAGAAGGAAGGAGTTGACCGAGTTAGTAATCAGTCCTGGATGCCAGACTCGGTCTAAAGCCTGCTCTACGTCGAGAAAGACTCCTGCAGTACATTTCTCGCTCCAATTCTCTGAATTTGTAGTGGAACATTCAATTCTGCTTCAACTTGTTTAAGATGGATTGAGGTAATGATCACAGGATGAGTTTCAACGTTTTTTAAAACGATGTTCACCAAATATCTGGGATTTTTTTTATCGGATTTTGACCAGATTAGAGGTTCATCGGGAAGTGGATAGTTTTCTATTTTAGTAACGTTTTAATTGTAGCCTATAATGATTTGTAGTTGGTTGTTGGATTTTTAGCAGTTCACAGACTGCCATTGTCATTCCTACAAACAAAGCCAACAAAATAATTTTATGAACTGAAAAATATAATCGTATGGTATGTAAAATAAAAATCTGGTGCGCGCATCATACAACTACTTTTAATAAAAATTATTTTATGGCAGCGTATGACAACAATTTT